TTTTTTTTTTTTTTTTTTTTTTAAACGTCAAAAGATTTTATTTTATCAGCGTCAACTCCAACGACAACTCCAACGAGAGGCTTTAAACTGCAAAGCGCCTCTCGAAACAGACACCTTGCTCAGTAGTAGCAGAGTCTCTTGTTACACCTCTGTGAAAATGGGTACAGGCAAAAAGGAGGCGTCTCGACGAGAGCGCCAGGGTAAGAGTAATGATGGGATGGGCAATGTTCGAACCAAGGGCGAAAATTTCTACAGGTATGGATTTCTCTCCCCTCCGTCGTTTCTTGGCTCGGCATTTGCTGGTGGTTATGTTATTAAGTCTTGGACTAACTGTTGTGTGTGTGTGTGTGTGTGTGTGTGTGTGTTTATAGAGATGCGAAAAAAGTGAAGACCCTTAATATGTTTAAGGATGGAAAGGCCCAACGGAACGCATCTGGAAAAATCACCAAAGCCGCATCATACCAGTCTCGAGATAAGCCAAGTGCCCGGATAGAACCGAACAGAAAGTGGTTCGGGAATACTCGAGTCATTTCTCAAGAGGCTCTGAGCTCCTTCCGAGAGGCTGTTGCTGAAAAGGCAGCTGATCCCTATCAAGTATTGCTAAAAACCAATAAACTCCCAATGAGTCTTATTCAGGACGGTCATGCACCAAATGGCCTGAAGCAGCACAAGGCTAAGATTGCCGTTGAAAACGCCCCATTCAGTGACACGTTTGGGCCCAAGGCACAGAGAAAACGTGTTAAGCTCAGTGTCGATACTCTTGAGGGCCTCGCCGGGGAGACAGTAAAGATGTATGACAGCTATTTGGATCGCTTAGAGCAGGCAAAACTGCTCAGCGGTACATCAGGCGATGCCAATGCTGATACCAACGGTGATGATGCAGAACTCACCGCTGCCAGAGAACCGATCTTCTCAAAGGGACAGAGTAAACGGATCTGGAATGAACTGTACAAAGTCATTGACTCCTCGGACGTTATTGTCCATGCTTTGGATGCTAGAGATCCTGAAGGCACTCGGTGCAGAAGTGTCGAGAAATATATCCAGGAAGAAGCGCCACACAAACATTTGATATTTGTTCTAAACAAGTGTGACTTGGTGCCAACAGGCGTTGCTGTAAGTTTATACATCTTCCACATTATCCCTTAAAATATCACCTTCAACCCCAGAACCGCTCAAATTATGCCATCGCGTTTGTCAAGGCTGCTTCCAGTGCATAAGTTATTGCCGTTTTTTACAATGGAAGACGGTCTGTTACCGCTATGGCAGATCAATCCCCCCCGTAACCTTGGCTTCTTTCTGAAGTCGAGGTTGACTTGCTTTCGTTTTGAAGGCATCGTCGCAAAGGGCATGGTGTGTCTTGTTTTGAGTTGAGTCCCGCTTCCACTTCATTGTGGACATGATAGCTGTTCTCTTAGTAACATTTCATATATCTCTACGTCTTATCACCTTCGCCGTCATTATATACATACCCAATATATATCTTGGCGCATTTGACTAACTTCTGGTCCTAGGCTGCCTGGGTCCGTGCTTTATCTAAGGAGTACCCTACACTTGCATTCCATGCAAGCATCAACAACTCTTTTGGCAAGGGATCGTTGATCCAGCTATTACGTCAGTTTTCAATTCTCCATTCAGATCGGAAGCAAATATCAGTGGGATTTATTGGGTATCCCAACACTGGAAAATCGTCCATCATAAACACTCTTCGAAAGAAGAAAGTGTGCACTGTTGCTCCTATCCCTGGAGAGACTAAAGTATGGCAGTATATCACGTTGATGAAGAGAATTTACCTCATTGACTGCCCTGGAGTGGTACCCCCAAGCAATAACGCCACTGAGGAGGACATCCTTCTACGTGGCGTTGTTCGAGTGGAAAATGTTGAAAACCCAGAACAGTATATTCCCGCAATACTTAAAAAGACGCAGCAGCGTCACATTGAGAGAACATATGAAATCAAGGGATTCACAGATGCTACTGAATTTTTGAGCATACTGGCTAGGAAGGGTGGCCGACTGCTCAAGGGCGGTGAGCCCGACGTGAACAGTGTTGCAAAGATGGTGATAAATGACTTCCTTCGCGGGAAGTTGCCTTGGTATACACCTCCACCTAAGGCTGATGACGCTGGAGATGAAAAAATAAATGGACGTGAGGGTCGATTAGGTGAGATGGGTATTAAGAGGAAAGCGGATGAAGCTCAAGGTGACGACGGAGATGAAGTACGGTCTGGCCCTGATGCAAGCGAAGACGATGCTCTCGAAAACGGATCAGACGGCAACGAAGACGAAAGCGAATTTGAAGGGTTTGAAGATTCAGACGATGAAGATGGGGGCGCCCCAATAGACACGGATCCCAGCCGATGATGTGCGCACAAAGGGAAATATTGACACTTCCCTTATTTACAGCGTCCCTGCGTTAATCCTTCGTGAGGTTTCGCATTTTCATTAATGTGGTATATAAGTTGGTTGCCAACAGCTTTCGCCATGGCTATCCGTTACTGTACCGGACCGGCCACCATGCCATCAAACTGAAGAGTGTGAAAATTGGAGATTATCCACGGTACTACTTACTATCGTATGGAGTACGGAGTACACCAGCTCCTCTCCCCTCCCCCTACGGGTTTTAGGACCTCAACCTTGGTCAACAACAATGTCGTGACGAGGCTCGGAGTGAATGAATCACAAGTAATCTCTGAAGGATTTCATCCCAAACCCCTCTATCGCTAGCAAGACACGCTGAAGTCTCAAAGCCCGTAGCCGGAACTACTCTATACAGCCTGTCTCCCACTTGAGACAGGAATTCCGCCCAGATGGCACTGCCCTTGCCGCGAACAAGGGGCTCAAACATACTATACATGAAATTCTCAACGATTAGTTACGTACACAAATGCATTCTCCACAAAACGAAACGTCTCTACGTACAATTAGCCTGTTTCTTCACTTCCAGGTACCAGATTAATCTGAGCCAAACAATGCCGTTTCCCCAAGCCGACTGGCGGCGGTTCGTTGGATCCAGCTGCGGAATCCCAAGGAACAGCGAAAGCTTAGCCGATCAAGCATTTAAACAGTCTCCACCTCCACTCCCAGACAAACCATGATGTGCCTGCTTATCACAAAGGGGTTGCTCGGTGGATATGATTTTCACGGTGTTTTGTCACTGTGCTGTCCATATCGCGAACTGAACGCCTTCCGCGCTAGATAATGCATTTATATTCGTTGAAAGTTTAATAGCACAAGCTGCAGGAGCTGCGAAGGCCTCGCCGGCCGGCCAAGCAAGCCGAGTCGGAAGAGCGAGAGAATTATAGGGGATAAATAGGACTGACCCTGGACATCCCACGAAAAAAAAAAGTACATATAAAAAATAACCCCTCGACCTTGCAGTGGAGGTTTATATCTATTCCCTTCTGCTCCTCCTGCTTGTGCCCTCCCTTTCCCCGTGCCTTTCTTCTGCCAATTGCCTCTGGAAAGCGTATACCAGTCCCGTACCTCCGAGCTAGACAAGCCCAACCAATATGTCCAACGTGCCCTCTCAGCCAAGCGCAAAGGTGCCGCAGACCGAGTGGTCTTCCCTCTATGAGCAGCAAGAACACAAACCCTCAACCGGTTCCCATGTAGCTCTGCCATCTTTCGGCAAGCTCGCCAACCCAGCCCCTTTGGGCCTCTTCGGGTTCTCGGTCACAAGTATTGTGGTTGGGCTGTACAACTGCGGTGCAGGGTAAGTGTGTGCCCGAGTGGGGAGGGTCGTGGTTGTGGTGTATACTTCTTCTCAAAACCCTTCAGAGGGAGCTAATGTGGTCATTGGTATCATAGACTGCCCAACTCCAATCCACGAGGAAGCTCCGGTCCAGATCAAGCTGCCTTTGGCCTTGCGTTGTTCATGGGAGGTATGATCCAGATCATCGTCGGCTTCATGGAGTTCCGGTCCGGCAACACTCTGGGTACTACCATCCACTCTTCGTACGGCGCATACTGGATGGCCTACGCAATGCTCAAGATTCCCGGATTGCACATACGTGAGGCATACGGGGATGAACGGTCATACACATTCGCACTGGGTATATTCCTCATCATTTGGGTACTTCTGACGATTGTTTTCATGGTTGCGTCACTGCATTCCAATATCTTGTGTCTGCTTGTGTTCGTATTCCTTGCGCTGTCATATCTGTTCGCCGCCATAGCCAATTTTATCGCAACGTCACTCCCCGAGCAGAGCATCCAGATGAATAAAGTCGGAGGTGGATGCGGTGTTGTCTGTGGAATGATAGCGTTTTACTGTGCAGCTGCAGGATTGATGTCGCCCGAAATGACTCCTGTACGGCTTCCGTTAGGACCTGCTCCATGGGCCAAGGAGCATATAGTGTGATAGCAATGTAGTGCACCTCGGTGCCGCTAGCTTCTCCCTTTTATTGAAGGGATCGGCTGAATTTTTCTTTTCCTTCCCCTGTGTGTGCGAATTAGCGAGCGTTTTGCATCTTGTCTTCTCATTGGAATAAAGTCTGCATAGCAATAATAAGTTAATGAACCGATCAGCATGCTACTCAAGCCAGGTGATTCAGGTCCGTCAACATTAAGAATCCAGCTAAACAACTAGAGGTTGTTCTAATGATATATAGGCATTGACCTGCAGTGGCTATTCTAGGGGCGACTTTGCAAGGTCTCACAGCGCAATCCTTCAATGCTGCGCCTCGCTTGTTCCCTGATTCTCCAGATGCCTCCAAGGTGGGAGCTCAGAAACTGTGTCGTATTCGACATTTTGGTGGCAGAGAGTCGAGATCACTTTGCACAGCACATATGTCAGCTGAAGGAATAACGTTGGCCGTAGATAGCCATGGAGCAGGTACTTGCAGGATAGCCATTGGATTCCATATGAATTAAATGCAGCACTGCAGTCATATCCGGGGCCTTATTTGAAACGATGTAACTAAGATATAAGCCAGGATTGCTGCGAGACATCTGACGGACAGTTACAGGGTGCATACACAGAACCTCGACAAGGATGGCCCTGACTTGGGAGCTCGTTCCTCGGACTTGCTGCGAGAATGGTTCATAATTAAAGGGATCTTTTGACAGAGACCCTTGCTTCATCATGGAAGCTGAAGCTGTGAAATTTGCACTGTGTGTTAACTAGTTAGCTCCAGGGGTAAGGCCAGGTCTGTCGCCAGCCATCAACATGATCGGTAGTCCGTTTCAAGGGGAGCAGGTGTACGTGCTTCGTGTGTCCCATGCAGTGTCCACAGAGAGGTCCCCAAGGATTTTCGGCTCAACAAGCCACCCAGCGTTGTGGTAGTGTGTAGTTAGAAAAGGGGCCGGGGAAGGGCAGAAGTTCTCGATCCCAGGTTGCAGGCGGCTCTAACGCCCAAGTCATGAGAACTCAACTCAACCATGTATCTGTATCTGCCTATTATTCATTGGTTATTCCCTGTCACGCTAAAAGCATGCTGGATGCAAACGGATAACTAGTTATGACTACCGTATGGTGATCTCTCAGCCGCCGCATTGCACTCACTAACTAACTTGCTCTGGGTTGGCCCAGTTAACTAGTTCTCGCGAATCATGCAGTGTCCAGGCCGAGGGGCGAAATGTGCTACTCTGTGCTGGCGACTCGCTGCAGCCCGTTGATGCCATGACAAGCAGTCCTGATCCCCTACGTATGAATGAGCCTTATATGGACACCGTTGTGGGAGAAGCGGCCCGGATGAGGATTTTGGGCTCTGATATAACTAGCCAGACTCCTGGCACATCGTTTGGCACGCTCAGTCGGCTCACCCGGTCTCCCTATCAACAGCTGGCGGAGGCTATATCTCTATTCCATATGCTAATGAACCTGGTATTCCTCATCTACAGAGCCGTAAGGTGGTTTCAAATCTTGCAAGGCTTTGCCAACCTTTAACTCCCCCCCGCATGAACAGAATGCCTGTGGCCGACCCATGCATGAGATCCTAGGCTCAACCAAGGCTTCGAGCTCGGCTGCCTGAATGGAAACTTGTGTAACCGCAGTTTAATAAATACACTGCAGTCGAATGTGCTACAGTCGGTTATTAGACAAGCTGGCGCATTGCTTGTCAGGATGGATAGTCTCGTGTTTAAGACTCTTGACAGGCATTGCGGCTGGGCCGTTGCACTCAAGCGCCGAACAGCGTATATTTATACCCCATGAGGCCTCCTTCTCGTTCTATTCACAGACACATCAGACATATTGTTCTGGGATAATCCTGATATTCGCACAGATCCAAACCGACACGATGGATACTTCGCTACGGACACACGCCTTCATGTCTGTCGTAATGACGCTTCCCCCACTTGGATCGCTTTACCTTGGGACAGACGCCACGAAAGGTTCGTCCTATCTATACCTTTACCATGCAGCTATCTTACTGGTATGGATTGTCGCGATAAAAAAGATTGTCTATAATCATTACTTTGGCCCCCTGAGAAGCATTCCAATGGCACCAGGAGATTGGTTCATCTTCGGTCATACACCCTATATGTATCGTGCAATTCCGGGGAGCTGGATCTTCGACTTTGTCAATAAACGCAATGCCAGAGATTATGGAATGATAAGAACAAAGGGCATACTGCATCTAAGTGATACAGTCGTCCTAACCGACCCTAATTTATTCAACGAAGTCTTGAGCGCTCACTGTTATGATTGTGAGTGTCATTTCGTGTATTATTGTCCTATATACCCGCATTTCAACTAATAGGCAGAAGATATCAAACCGCCTAAACGCACTGCATTTGTTAAACGAATGATAGGACGGGGTATTGGCACTGCTGAACTTGCAGAGCACAAGGCACAACGAAAGTCTGTTCGACCAGCCTTTCTCGGCCATGTTATCAAAGAACTTGTCCCGAAGATGTGGCTTAAAGCTCTTGAATTCTCAGACTTCATGGCCACTGAGTCAAAGGCCACTGACGGTACCATTGAGTTCCACAGATTAGTCTCCCTGGTGACACTTGGTAAGGGATATAAAACTTATAGGAGAATATGTGTAGATGTCCACATCTACTGACTTCTGACTCATTGTTATCTAGATATCATTGGAGTTGCTGCTTTTGGCGAGGATTTCAAGTCTCTTTATGGTTCACAGAATGAGCTCGCAGCTACGTTTCGTCGAATGTTAGATCCAACCTGGGATTTTATCAAATACTTTGTTGCATGCATGTTACTACCGAGCTGGATTTCCGCCATGCTCCCAATGGAGGGAAACAAAACGTTGACAGCATGCAAGTCTAAACTGCTGAGTCTCAGTCACCAGCTAGTTACAGATAAAAAGGAGGTAGTTAAGAAAGGGGGCAATTACAGCACAACCGTCTTATCAGTGCTTCTAAAAAATGGGGAATTTTCTGATGACGATATACGGGACCAGATGTTGACATTCTTGTTTGCAGGGTACGACTTTTCATTCAATCCCCCCCTAAAAGGATGGTTTTGCTAACAACAGCATCTAGTCATGAAACTACGAGTACATCAACCACTTTTGCCATGTACCTTCTTGCTACACATCCTGAAATTCAAGAGAAACTTCGACTCGAAGTTCAGGGAGCATTATCACAGTGCCACCCACATGAGCTCACGGATCAAATTTTTGAGTCAATGCCATTCCTTGCAGCGGTCGTGTCCGAGACTCTCAGACTTTGGCCGGTGGCGGTAAGTCTTCAATGAACTTAGTGAAGATGCTAATGTCCTTTGCTGCTTCTTATACTAATATTTCCCCCCTCCCTATTTATCCAGCCATTACAGCTGCGAGTTGCCATAGTAAGTGCTATAGTTCAAGTTTATCTCACATTGATAACATACCTCGCGACTAACAGTATTTCTAAAGAGGGACAGCGTCATTCGGGGGGTCACAATTCCTAAGGGCACACGGGTTAACATGTCCATCTTAACAGCCAATCGGTCACAGTCTATCTGGGGAGCAGATGCGGCCGAATTCAGACCTGAAAGGTGGCTCGGCGAGGGCAGAGAGACTCATGGAGGGACTAACAACCGCCTTGCAAGTAGCATTACTTTCTTGTTTGGACCACGAAGTTGTATTGGACAAAGCTTTGCTAGGGCAGAGATGAAGTGTCTGATTGCAGCTATGGTGGGAAAGTTCAAAATTGAGATGCTGCATTCAGACCAGCAGGTTGTGGTCGCCGGGGCTGTAAGTCTAATTCCATCACCTCCTTGCCCGGATATGCTGTGTCTCTCTAACACTTTATATACTCTTAGCTCACGATCAAGCCTATGAATGGGCTACATCTTCGCCTCACAGATATGGGCCTAAGTCATAATAAGTGAGGAGATAGCCATTGCTCTGGTTACTATGTTTCATACATCCGAGCCTGTTCTCAGGCGCATTTGGCTCCTCTTTAACTACAACGTTCTGTTGATATAAGGTAGGTAATTGAACTAATGGGTAGAACCGCATTTCAAGCCTCCCCGTCTGATGTGTCTCTACTGATGAGCCCTGTCAACAACTGTTCTGCGCCGTGAGTAACATTAATACCTGGCATACTAGCAGTGCATCAAGAACGGTCGCCATACCCTTTCAGGCCTGGCTTTGGGATGCTGGCTCTCGGGCAGTCTTCCAAGAGTACCCATGCCCAATGACCATAACTACAACGCCGATGACCACCTAACTCGAATGTCCATCTGAGACAGAGGACACGCATCTGAATGAACTTGGCCTCCCTGTTCCTCACTTATCTATCTCCTGCTCGGTCCCGCTTGTTGAAAATACGAGCCAAAGTCGATGATTCCATTATTACGGTGTATATCCTGTGTCTCTACCTGACTTGATTATGATAAAGTGATATATCCGTTCTATCAGTTTGTATGATCGTCTAACATGTCGCCCTATTTGCGTATACATGCAATGCCAATGTTCTCTAGATGGAAGACTTTAGCTGGGACACAACACAGCAAGTTTTGTGAGACTGTGAATTCCTGCATATCACAGATCCCTAGTTAACTAGTCAAGACTGGCTCAATATAAGCGCTGCCTGTTTGCTGTCTGTTCTCTATACTTATCCAAAGCTGCCTGCCACTGCTCGTTGGCTATAGACTAACTAAGTAGTTAGTTAGTTAGCGAAAATCACCGCCGGGACAGCATGAAAACAAACAAACCACCGGGCAACCGGGAAAACTAGAACTGATTTTCTCTTGATTAACAAACAGGCTGCTCCCATGGCCCTTTTTCTCAGTCGAGCTCAGCTATAACTGCGCAAGAGAAGCTGCTGAAGCTGCTTCTGCCCATCCTCCGTGGCATTCTTACGTTGACGAGCTCTCTCTGGCCGAGAGAGGCCTGGAGCAAGACCATCCAGCTGCTATCTCCAACGACCGATCTATCGAAGATGCCCTGACGTAATTGCTAGAGCCTGCATAAGGATGGCCGACCACGACTCGCGGAGCATGTCGATTGTTCCTTATAGCGGCGGAGGGGACGTCGTACTGTAAGTAGAGAGAGAGCGACGCTTGGTCGCATCGCTGTTCACTAGTTAGTTGCGGATGGGAAGCTGACAGCTGGACTGCCTTGGAACAGCCGCCATGACGATGCGATTGTCGTGTTTGACCCGAATTCACAGCAGCTCGTCCTCAAACCCGCGAACCAAGGCGTCGAGAACATCGGGGACCGAACTGACTGCCCTTATTGCCATCGTCCGCTGCGTGATGGCAGCCCTGAGCACTCGCAGGAGCCGCACCGAGGGCCCACGCCCGCCACCGCAGCGCCGTCGAGGTTCGTGAACCCGGAATACTTTCGACTCCTCGAGAATACTATTCCCCCTTCGGCTGCTGCAGACCAGCCGCCTTCTTCTCCTTCTTCTCCCCGACGTCAGTTAGTACCGCCTGGCCGCGAAGAAGGGACGCCAGCTTCGGGTAGCGAGCATGGCAGTGGTGGGGATGGTGAGTCACCTTCTACCACCCACGGGATTTCCTCGACTGCGTTCAGTCATGATTATTTCAAGAGATTCTTCGTCGAAGAGCGTGAACTAGGAAGAGGTGGGAAGGGCGTTGTGCTGCTGGTAAAGCATATACTGGATGGTGTGTCTCTGGGCCACTATGCCTGCAAGCGTGTCCCCGTTGGTGATGACCACGAATGGCTGAAGAAAGTGTTGATTGAAGTCCAACTGCTACAGCATCTCTCGCATCAGAATCTAGTTTCATACAGACATGTGTGGCTAGAAAACGCCAGGCTCAGTAATTTTGGCCCAAGTGTACCGTGTGCATTCATTCTACAGCAGTATTGCAACGCAGGAGACCTGCAAAAATATATCTGCGGCTCGATTCAGACGGCAGCAGATACACCACAGCAGCTCAAGGCTCGACTACGGCGCAGATCTCGAGGCCAGCCAGAGCTACCAAGCGCTGCCAGTGGGCCAAGACGGCTCCAGTTGGAGGAAATATATTCGTTCTTTAAAGATATCACCTCGGGACTCCGTTACTTACACGTCAATGGCTATATCCATCGTGACCTAAAGCCAAGTAACTGCCTCCTGCACGAAACTGGCCTTGAGCTTCGGGTATTGGTCAGTGATTTCGGTGAAGTCCAGTTCGAAAACACCGTCCGCAACTCCACCGGTACTACAGGCACCATCTCCTTCTGCGCACCCGAAGTGCTTCGAAGAGTATCACCCGGCGGTCCGTTTGGCAACTTCAGCTTCAAGTCAGATGTCTTCTCTCTCGGGATGACTCTGTATTTCCTCTGCTTTGGCCAGCTTCCCTATCGTAATGCAGATGTGGTTGATGAGGACAAAGAAGATCTCGATCTTCTTCGTGCTGAAATTAGTCAATGGGCAGGATTCGATGCCGCAAGGCGGATGAGACCTGACCTTCCTGATATGCTCTACTCTTTCTTAACTCGTCTCCTGGATGTGAACCCTGATATGAGACCAACTGCGGAAGATGTCTTGAGTGGTATCCAAACCGGTGGTTCCAGTGGCCGTTTTCATAGGACATCTCCTTCCCCTACTGACTTACAACCTACCGCCCGAGTACTTCCTGTAGATAGCCCGGCTACAGGATCACCGTCACGGCGGTCTAATAGTCCCGTAAAGAGAGCACCCCCAGCATTAGACCTTCCTTACGCAATGGGCCATTCTGATGCGCTTGTTGGCGGAAACTCAAGCCAACCCATATCCAATGAATCAGAGGGTTCTGTTGAAGGCCGGAGAGGCGGCCATACGAATAGAGAGCCTACCAATCTTCTTGTCCGATCTACTGCCACATCTCCTCGCATTGTGCGTGAATACCCCGAGGGCCGCAATCGGAGATTATACAACATTAGCAATCGTCTTCTCCTCCCTCCTCCAAGCAGGTTTCCTATTCTTGGCCACATTTTACGAAGCCGGCCTATCATACCAATTCTAATGAATTTCACCCTCCTTACTATCAAAATAATCTCACTTACCCAGCTGTGCGCTCCACTCACGGTCAAGACATGGATAGTATATCCACTTCTTTTCCTCGCAGTTCTGGACTTGAGTGTTCCAAAAAGATGGCTTCATGTAGCTGCTTTTTTGATTCATGCTTTAGTTCTTGCCCTTGCACTTAAAACAGGTTCTCTATGTGCACAAGGGTTTCATGATTTACACTCCCTGAGGTAGCTATGCGAATTACGAACCGGGTGATGACAGTTGTACGATTGGCCTTTCGGGTTGAGGAAGTATGAGGATTCAACCCATACCCCCATCAAAGGCAATGATAATGCCTTCTGACTATTATGATTGTTCAACGATATGGACGTAACCAATAATATACCTATTTATCCCTTCCAATGGTATATATGTACCCAAACCAACTGGTCTTCATAACCCCTACCTGACTTGCATGATACTTAAATGTAGAGAGAGTAACGCAACGACAATCTCATTTGAGTCCCGTAATGATCCCATAAGAAGCGGAGCCACCCAATAGGGACGAGAGAGAAGCCAGAGGTCTCACAAAATTTATCTTGGAATTTATGTGTGGCAGTCAGATGGTAGTTGACAAGGACTTATCTCCATCTGTCTGTAGGCACCACAAGAGCATCGAGATCCGTACGGGCCGATGTCTTGCGATATTTGAAAATTCCTTGCGCATTTTTACATTAAAACCGCACCAACGGCGATAGAAACAATATGCACTAATTAATAGTAAGGGCATGTGGTATATATGGTATATTATTTTTATTTATATTGTCTTTCAAAGCGACTTATTTAGCCCTTGCAGCCTTAAAACGGCTTACTCTCTTTGGTTTTTCTTTTTCACCTTGCGAGTGATCATCAGCATTCAAGGAAACAAGAGACTCAGTCTCATTCTCCTGAAGGAACCCTCCGCTCTGCTGGATTTTGTGATTTCGTAGTTTATAAAACTCTGCTGCCACTTCTCTCCTGTGGATGGCTTCGTCCAACTCATCCGGATCAGGAGGAACAACGGAGTCTCTATGCACGGTTCGTTCAACGAGGACATCAGCTAGTGGCTTACTACTCGCTTTCTTCCCATTCATGCCACCCTTGTTGTGCTCTTTCAAGGAAATGGTATCTGGATCAGGTATAGGGTGTGAGAAAGGCTTTGGGGTTGAAGGGGTAGCCGGAAACAGTGGAGGAGTAACGACTGGAGCTCTTGAATTTAGGGAAGAGCTGCTATTAGCAGGTTTTAAGGTGGACTGGATGACTGTAGCTGTGCCTACAGGGGTAGAATTTTCGGCATTCAGAGAACTCTTGAAGCGAGACACTTTCTTTGCTGATCCAGTATTCCTTTCCTTTGTTATATTAGCAACCCCTGACCTTTCGACCACTTCTTCCTGAATAGGTGGAGGGAGAACTTCCGCTTTGGTTTTTGTAGGCGCGGGTGGCAGTTTGGGGGATGGCTCAGGAGCAATATCGAGTTCTTTTGCGAATGCAACTGTTTTCTTTTTCGCAGGACCTTTCTTCATTGCAGATGGGGCTTGGTCAACCTGCGTTCGAACATCTGACGGTAGGATGCTGGAATCAGGGCCAATATTTTGTAAGCTCTTAGCATTCAATTTTTTCTCGAGCTCGCGCATTCGCTTGATATAATCGTCATCCAAAACTTTTCTCGTAGTACGTCCATATTCATCTTCATCCTCGCTATCTTCTGCGTCAAGATCGTAATCTTCATCATCAATGGAAAATTCGCTTCCATCTTCATCAAGTTCTAGCTCCGCAACAATTGCGCCCACTTCCTCTAGTCCGTATTGAAGCATCTCCCTGCGTAAGGCAGCATCCTCCGGTGTATCTCCATCAACCTCAGCCATCGCTGGCCACTCTTTCTCTCCAACATCTGTGGAAGTTCCGTCTGGTTCCAAAGATCCCATCCCTGACGTAGAGCGTGGAGCAGCTACGGGTAATGAAGAAGTGGTACCATCCTTTTCTCGGGCAGAAGTATCAGGAGCCTGAAATTCAACTTCCTCTGGAGATTGAGTCATAACATCAGATTCAGAAACCCGTATAGATTTGTTCCGACTGGTATCAGGTACAGGTGATTCTTCAGCTTTATTTGTGGTAGAAGCTAGTAAAACAGAGGAGTCTTTCACCTCTGTTGTTACTTTCTCTTTGTTCAACTTTCCATCACGTACTTCCAACCCGGCTTTCTTCAAAGCATTAAGTAGTTCGTTTGTCTCCTTTCCTGGCATTGTAGTTGAGCTTGAAATAACATTTCCATCTTCATCCAACTTTTCCACAATATCAGTAATGGGTAAGCCTTCTTCATTTAGTCCATCATCAGGTTGTTCCATAACAAGAGTATTTAGTTTATCCTCCAAGGAGGTGGCGCGCTTCTCAAGAGTCTTTATATTTTCCAGAACATAGTCAATCCTCCGGTCAATCGCACGGGCGACTTGTTGAGGTGATCTTGATACAACAGGTCCAGAGGAGCCTTCTCCTAGCAGGGCTCGCACTTCTTTCTCAGTGACTTGAGACCCTTCGAAATTTCGCCCCACCTCAAGTATATGCTCGCGAGAACTGTTTTCTGGCAATGACAAGATTTCTTCCTTCAAACCGTCATACTCCGCATTCCAAATTTTCCAATGATATATTGAGGTTTGAAGGTTTGTTATTTGCTTTTCTAGCTCCAGTCGTTTTTCTTCGAGGCTCAGTAGGGGTTCATTTGAGCCAGCCATACTGAAATATAATGGTTAAAAAAAAAACGAATATAAGACCATAAAGTTAACAGGTGGTGAAGTCCAAAGAGAAAACAAAAAAATCGAGGTTCAAGTTGAAATCGAACGTGCATAAAATCAAATCACGTGCATGAAACGCTTAATTTTTAAATTGTAACATTTAATCATTACGTCAGCAGTTTCTTTATGACTAATCCACTATTCTCTAATAAAATGACACAATAAGCATGTGATAGCACTATAAGGTATATAGCCAGAACTTTAAAACGAAAGTTTGCTGCACGGAGAGAAAAACGATGATTCATAAGTTATGTAGATCATGCCCATTTACCCAAGACTCCCATCAAAACCATACCACTGATGAGAGCCAGTAGACCGGTCATCATTCGGCCAATACTAGCATCTTTGAGATCTCCATGAAGCCAGTCGTGAGTCCACATATCAACGATGGCAGCCCACGCAAGTATACCAGCAGAGAATGCGTCGAGGGTACCTATGGCAACGATAGTACTTTTATCATTGCCGTTGAATGAGTGAAGGACGCCTAGACCAATAGCCATACCCAGAGGTGTGATGAGGGCAAAGATAGAGGACATGACAAGTTTGGTAGATATGTTCGTGTTGGCTAGATCAGCGATTCGGGAGCCCAGAGCCAGGCCCTCAAACATCTGATGAAAGATTATCACAATGAATAGAGCAGTGTATCCTGAATCACCTGAGACTACCAGTGTGACACCGAGGACTAAAAGCTGTCAGTTTGTTGCCATGTTATTTCTTATGGGAATGTGGCTTAACTCACTGACTGAGTGGAAAATGATGCCCGCTTCCATGAGAAAAACGCTAATCTTATCGTCCGGGAAACCTTGATGGCCATGACTGTGACCCAGGTTTGCAATTGCTGAATCTAACCCAGTTTTTGTTCCCGATACTGGGCTGGTGTGGCTAGAAGTCGCGGAAGGTTCCATATCGTCTCCCTGAGGATGCTTCTTACCGCGTGACAAGGCTATCCTATTTCCGAAATATTCGATCAAGAAGGTTATGAATAGGCCGGCCATGAAGATGGATGTCGCGGTGGCTTCATATTGAAGAGTGCCAAGGCATTGGTTGCCAAACATGAGTTCCGCGTGTGTTAGGAGCTAGATGCAGTTAGACGTAGTTCCTAGCTTTGTTGAAAGGGTATACCAACATGGATGAAAGCAGTTGCAATCATGATACCTGTGCCAAGCTGCTTGATTATTGTGAACACAAAGATATTCATAGTCGATGCGAAGAATCGCTGCATCAAAACGGGACCGAACACGGCGATTGCGCTTGTGACTAAAATGGCAAATAGGGAGCCAATACGGTAAGGGATATTGTAATCTCGATCAACTCGATCACAAGACATAGGAGGTGCCTCAGATCCATTTTCTGGGATACAGTGCCTGACAGCTGTAAGCAGGTGACGTTTTTTCTTTCTTTCTCATAGGTATCCCAAGACTTACTCTACTCCTGCGTGGAAATGACAGTTGAGGCCTTCATGTCCACCTTTTCCATGACCATGTTCTTCGTGGCCGTGTTCTTCATGGCCATGGCCATCACCTGAAGACCCTTCAGAGAGTACCTGGACCTCGTCCCCGTCCGGTCCCACACAATATCTAGGCAGTCCAACAGTCAGAATTGATCTTATAATAGAGAGAATAGGGGGGAACAGTGTATAAAAAAAAAAAAAAAAAAAAAAAAAAAAAAAG